AGCATCTCTGCTGGCAGGTGCTCTGCACAAAACCTTAAGCACAAAAACAATAATTACTGAAATCTGGAAGTTTACCGACTGAGTAAAACAGTATCCAAATATAATTTCAACTGTTATTAACTTGTGAATGGTTGTAAATTTTGTATCACTATGAAAAGTTTACAATCATCAATCTCCCTCGAGGCACACCTGTAGCCCATTCTGCCATGACCACTTGTGAGCAGCTCAGCTTTAGAGATCTATAAAAGGCAAAATGGGATGAAATAGTAAAACGTGTACTACAGATAATATTTGGTGATACTCAAGTTTTGCAGGAAGGCCTATGGCATAGTATGGACTCAAGATGAAACTTGAGGTGGGGGGTGTGCAGGGTTTGAATAGATGGAGAGGAAGAGGGAGGGAGGGCACCTCAAGTAAGCCAGCCAGACTTAGCAACATACTGAGGGAAAGAAAACAGCAGGACAGAGCACTGCTAACAATCAATGACAAAGTGTTAGGCTTTGAATGTATAATTTCCTGGAAAGTGGCCAGAGTAGACTATGTGTTAGAAATCTGTGTTGGTAAATACTAGTAAAATTATATGGATAAATCATGGGGAACCTTGAAAGTCAGTTTATGATGATCATTTTGCGAGCAGGGCTCTCTGACCTATTCACAGCAGTACAGAAGAGAGATCTGGACACACTGGGCAGAAGAGACCAAAGAAAGACCCGAGACAGCGAGGAGAGCAACTAGGAGGCTGCACAAATAGGTGATGAGGGGCTGAACCAGAGTGAAAGAAGTGGAAGTAGAGAGGAAGGGATGAGTTGGAGACATATGGCAAAAGAAATATCAATGGGATTGAGCGGCAGATTCAACAGATTAAAAAGACTAGATGGCTCCAGGGCTTTGAGGCAAAATGACTCAGAAAATGGTGGCATTATGCTGAGAAAGAAATCTGGAGAGGAGACTTGGTTGGAAGATGGAGAATGAGTTTTAGTGGAGATGTGGCGGAGCCATTAGAGGATGTGAGCTCTCCAAGAATACAGAATGCTCGAGGCTGAGCTTTGGGAAGATTACTAGTCTTGCTTAGCAGGAGGAAGGGGGAATAAGAGTTATGGACACAGTGCTGAGGAAAACAGAAAAACAAGAATGGTGCATGTCATCAAAAGAAGAGAAAGCCTTTCTCTTTATGGCTTACTTTACATAGTTTGATAATCTCTAGTTCCATCCATGTTGCTGCAAATGACGTTATTTCATTCTTTCTTATGGCTGAGGAGTATTCCATTGTGTGTGTATACACCATATCTTTATCTAATCGTCTGTCAGTGGACATTTAGGTTGCTTCCATGCCTTGGCTATTGTAAATACTGCTGCTGTGAACATTGGGGTGCATGTATCTTTTTAAGTTACAGTTTTCTCTGGAAATATGCCCAGGTGTGGGATTGCTGGATCGTAACAAAACAAACAAACAAACAAACAAAGCCTCAAGAAAGAAAGGACAATCATGTTTAACAGGCCATTTCTGGCCTCAGACTCTGTATGTTCAAATCCTGCCTGTCACTTATTAGTTACATGTCATTTCAAAGGTTTTATTCTCTTTCTTAGTTTCATCATCTGTAAAATGGTGATAATATAACTTACCTCAGGGATATTTTGTGGATTAAGTGAAAAAATGCATACAGAATACTTAGCACAGTATCTGGTGCAGATAAGAAGTTAATAGATGTAACTGATGACTTTTAAGGGGCCAAAGGAATGATGAGCAGAAAAAGCGGCAAGAGGTTAAAGAAGGATGAGCATAGAGAAAAGACACTGTGTATGAAGAACTTTCTAGAGATTCTTTGCCCAAAAATGAAGAGAGATCACAGAATAGTGACGTGATCTCCTCACTGAGGCAATGAGGTGAAGGCTTTGCTTAGGTTTGCTCTGTACGAACAAAGAGTTATTATTGTTGTCATGGAAACCTATTTAATTAGAGCTGGGCCATCTTTCCATTTACATGAGGCCAGTTGAGCCTTCAATAGAAATCAAACAATTGTACAACTAAAAGGTCCTGTCAAAATTTTTGCAGTCAGTAAAATGGTGCAGCCTCTGTGGAAAACAACAGTATGGTGGTTTCTCAAAAAATTAAAATTAGAATTGCTATCTGATGCAGAAACCCCACTTCTAGGCATATACCCAAAAGCATTGAAAGCAGGGACTGGGAACAGATATTTGTACACCCATGTTCATAGCAGCATCATTCACAATAGCCAAAAAGTGGAAACAACTCAAATGTTCACCAAAAGATGAATGTATAAACAAAGTGTGGTCTATGCATACAATGGAATATTATTCAGCCTTAAAAAGAAAATAAATTATGACCCATACTGCAACATGGATGAACCTTGAGGATATTATGCTAAGTGAAAGAAACCAGACTCAAAAGGACAAATATTGTCTGATTTCACTTATATGAGGTACCTAGAATAATCATATTCATGGAGACAGAAGACAGAATGGTGGTTGCCAGGCTGGGGAGAGGTGAATGGGAGTTTTTGTTTAATGGGTGCAGTTTCAATTTGGGAGGATGAAAAAGTTCTGAGATGGATGGTGGTGACAGTTGCACAACAATGTGAAAGTTAATACCACTGAACGGTACACTTAAAAACAGTTAAAGTGGTCAATTTTATGTTATGTATATGACATGAGCAAAATAAGTCACTGCCCTTTGCTAAATAAAATGAAAAGTTATCAGAAACAACTTGTAGCAGTAACTCTTTATAAATAATGAAATACATCATGCATACAAATAAAATGCATAGTGTATATTTAGGCATAAAAATAATTAAACAAACATGTAAGCAGCCACTATCCAGCTTGAAACATAGAACATTACTAATAGCGTTGGGACTCCTGTTCCATCCCCCTGATACCCCTCTTCCTCCCCATCAAGGATAACAGCTGTTCTGAATTAGTATTTATCATCCCTTGTTCTCTTGTTCTTTCTTACAATATTGTGCCTTATATACGTGACCTAAATAATATATTGCTTTTTCCACTCAGTATCGTGAGGTTTACCCATGTTGATGTCTGTAGCATTCTCATCGAGACCTGCGTTCTCTTCCCAGTAAATTGAGGCTTTTATGACTATGCAGTGACCCTTTTTATACCTAACAATGCATTTTGCCTTTAAGTCTCTTCTGTCTGGTATTAACATGTCTTTTGGTTATCTGACTATTTATCCACATATCCTTTTACCTTCAGTCTTCTGTGTTCTTGTGTCTTTTCAGATATGCCTACAGCTGGATATTTTAAAAATCCAGTCTGCTAATTTCTGTATTTTTAACTGGAACATTTAAGACCTTCTCTTTTTATTGTGATTACTGTTATATACGGACTCTTCTCTGTTACTTATACACTTTTCCTATGCTTCCCCTCGCCCCTCCCATCTTGCTTTTGGATCAAACAAGTTATTTTGTGTTGTTTTTCATTCCTTTTCTCCTTTTTACTGGTTAGTTGGTTTTATTATTTCTATATTAATTACCTTTGAAATTTTGCTATGCATACTTGACTTTTTACAAAGTCTAAATTTAGTATCTTTATATTCATCTTTCTCTAAATAAAAGAACATAAAGTAAAAGATAATGGAGTACCAACAAACTGAGACCATTTAATTTCTTGTCTTGGGATTTCCCAACGAGGCTGATGGTATAAATTTAAAACTTAGATCTACCTTGTGGCTACAAATTCTTGGGAAACTATTTCTCCCCCAACAAGAAGCAGCAAGGAAGACAGATCTCTGTGCTGCTTCCCTCGGTCAGTAGGCAGATATTTTCAGTCCCACCATTTCACACTGAGAGTATGTGGGCCTTGATGGGTTTCAGGTTTAGCGGGTAAGAGAGTCCTTCAGTTCAGTTACTTTTTCACTCCTTGCCAGCCCATTTACCTCGAAGCTTCAAATTCCTGGTGTTTACATTGGCCCTCAAGTCAGCCTTAGTTTCTGCATTTGCTTTCTACCCTGGTTTCTGCTTCACTCACTTTCTTGTAAGCCTAGCAAAGCAATTTGAAAGGTATGTTTGCTGAGATTTGTCTCACATCCAGGTATTTTGAAGATGTAAGGCTTTTCAGACTATCTAATCTCTCTTTTTCTATTAAAAGCAGATGAAGTCTTTCACTCTGTTTATTTGTGCATGGTGTTGTATGCTCTCTATGGATCTACATGTTTTGCTGCAATTTGTCCTGGAACTTTTTGAGTGAGATATATGTTTTCTCTTTACAATTAAAGTGGATGAGTACATGCAAATGTAAAGAGAGATGTTAATCAAGTGGCTGTTTAATGATTATTTTTATTTGGAAATACATAACCTAATGTCAAATAATAGAGGATTCATAGAGTAAATTTTGCTATGACTCTTACTGAGCCAATAAGAGTTGTGTGATATGGAAGATGATCATGTTATGATGTTGAGTAGATGAGCTGTTTTGTATGACCCCATTTTTATTTGTAGAAATATATATTTACATTGGAAAAATTGTGGAAGGTGACAACTGATATTTCAGGGTGATATCACTAGAGGTACTTTTGCTTACTTCTTGGTTTTTTTTCTTCCTTTTTTTATAACACCACTTAATTTTATTTATTATTATTATTTTTGGTGGGAGGAGGTAATTAGGTTTATTTATTTATTTTTAAATGGAGGTACTACAGATTGAACCCAGGACCTCGTCCATGCTAGGCAAGCACTCTACCACTGAGCTATATCTTTCTAGCTTCTTACTTCTTGTTGATCTCTACTTTTTAAATGAATAGGTAGTACTGTGCGTTTTTTTTTACGTAAATGACAATTACAACAACAAAACCCAAGGATTAGTAAAACACTTTCTAACCTTAGAGTCCTGTAACAATACATCTGTCTTGTGGCATAGTGAACTCCCCAATATTGAGAGTGTCAAACAGACTGGGTGACTTCATGTCCAGGATTCCTTTCATTTTATGATTCAAAAATTTCCGTTTTATTTATTTCCCCTGCCAACAGGTCAATCAATCAATGCCTCAAACAGATAAGCAAATATGCATTCCCCCGGAGCTGCCGGAATTGCTGAAGCAATTTACCAAAGCTGCCATTCGGACCCAGCCGCAGGATCTCACCCAGTGGGCCGCAGAGTACGTACTCCTTTCTCACTTCCAGCCCCTGGTCCCCACTGGAGGTAGAAGTGCTGGGGTGGAGGAGGGAAGGTCTTGGAAAACTGTGAGGAGGTTGTCATGGCTGCAGCCTGGGAGTCGGGGCTGATTAGCATAATCTTTGTGTTGTTCAGCTCTTGCATTTCTTTGGTACTTTAAAATCCACACATTAAGTACAGCAAATTGGGCGAGGGTGGATGCTGTCCCCTAATTGAACCATACAGCAGCAGGACGCCAGGGCAATAGGCAGAGTATCCTGGGGCAATCAGCAAGAGTTAGATTACCACATCCTATCAGCACAAGCACACCCCACCCCGTCCCAGAATCCCCACCCCTACCCCGGTCCCACTAGAAAGGAGGGTTAAGAGTACCCCCAGTTTAGCCTGCCTTTCCCTGGTGTAAACCAGGGCCTCATTCTCAGGTCTCACCACTAGATGGCAGCAGTGCACCTGGAGGAACGATGCGAGGAGCCTGCGGGGCGGACTGTGTGGGATTAGTTCAGGCAGGTTCACTCCTGGGTTTACTCCTTTAATGTGACACCTTCCTCTAATGCTGTTAAAACTCATTCTTGCGCCCAGCCAGAGACACTTCGTATCTTGTCTTTGTATCTTTGTCTTTCTTTGAGTGTTTCTTTGAACTGATTTGTTCCTTCAACACAAGGATGTCCACACAGTACAGGTTGCATTCTGGAGAAAGGAGGCAAGAGTGATGAGGCAGTTGGAGTATCCGCCTGGCTGCAGTGTGCCTCAAACACAGGTGTCCTCTTTCAGGAGACACCTCCAGAGACTGCTCAAAGGAAGGAGCTTACACAATAGGTGCTGGCCGGGATTGAAACAGTTTCACACTGAAAGCCTCCCAGCTATGAAATTGCTTCTTAAGACAAACGTGCCTGCTTGAACCTGGGGAACTGAGGCTTGGGGCAGGAGTTGGGGGCTGACCTGACCTCCCAGACCATTTTCAGGCTTTTTTTTTTAACTGTTTGGGGATGACCTCCTTACTAGCGCTTCAGAGGGAGAGAGGGATGGGGAGTAAGAGACTACTGAGCGCAGCTGGTTCCTTGTGGGAAGGGAGAATCCTCCACATGAGGTTGGGTAGGTGCACTGATTGAGTAGGTGGTGGGTAAAAGGTGTGGACGCCTTTGAGAAGGCGCACAATCTGAGAGGAGCCTCAGAGTCTCCCAGCCAGGGCACTCATGCTCCTGGGCTGGGCTAGGATGAAGCTTTTACAAATGGAAGGAAAAATAAGCCAGTGGTGCTCATTAAAAAAAAATAAAAAAAAAAAAAAAGGACACAAATGGGGTTGCTTTGCCTGGTAATGAACCCTGTTTAGTTTTCCATTCTAAATTTTATGTATTACCTCTAAGATTGAACTTTAGTGTCAGAAGACTAATTTCTTTTGGCACACCTAAACACGTTGTTTTATACTATACAATAGTTTAAAATCCCATTTTATTGTTGCGCTGCTGCTTTATAGCAAGAAAAATGACATTTCTTGGTATTGTCCCTGACATTTATGGGAGAAAACATTCCACTGTTGTAGCCTGCTTGCTCCCATATTGTATCATGTGCTATAAATGTTTTAGGTATCCGTGAAGAATCAGTTTGTAGTTTAACTACAGTAAAAAAGCAGAGCATGACCTAAGAGCATTCTCCATCTATTCAGACACGAAAAGCCCTTGTCAGATGGTTTTATGTGACTTACAAACCTGCAGCATTTTAGAGGTGAAACTCCACAACATATTTCCAAGACGAGATGTCTATTTAATTCATCACAAGCAAAACTATCCCTGCATATGTGCTGTCCATGTGGAAACCACCTACCAGGCATCAGCAGGACATAAACTAATCTGTCTTGTGGTGGGTATGTGTGACCACACAATTTGAATATCAATGGGATTGCTCGATGCAAACAAAGCTAAATAACCCACAGAGGCCCAAATCCATGACTACAACCAGCTCTGCTGAAAAGTCTAAAGATGTTGCTGCTGACAGTCACTGTCTACCTAGGCAGTCAGTTCTGCCAAGTGAGTGCCATGTGTCTCTCGTCCCTCCCATTTACATCACCCAAGTCTGGTGCTATGCCTGGAGCCCACACCCACCCCAACACTGACCTGTCTGCAGAGATTGCTCACACACATTGGTAGAGGTGGCCTGAAAGTATTTCTTCTGCCCTCTCTGCTGATGACCTCCAAGAGGTGCCTGGAAGGTGCTTTGGTCCTGATAGCTGTAGCTCTGTGTTGTGTGGGGGCTTAGAGACAGTCAATGGTTTGTTGCATCATTGTATGGCTTGACCTTAAAATGGGTTGTATAAAATTCCCTGTGTATTCTTTTTATACTACCTGGATCTGGAGAAATTAATACAAAGTAAGAGAGGGGCAGAGGCTGCAATCCAGCGGTAGTCAGTTACAAGACTTCTGGTGGAGGCAAGCCCTTCCATACAGCATCAGTGCCACAGGTGTCAACTGAGCGTGTCCATTTCCTGCTGCAGCAGCCCCTTCCATCATATGTCAATCCTGAAACATGGTTCAGTGTTTTTCCACACTGCACCAAAATGAAGTCCACTCCACAAAGCACTGATGGGCAGGCAGATGTTAAGGAAATTTTTGAGGGGAGAGAGAGGAGAATTTCACTGCATATACCTCATGTAAGTTCATCTCAAACCCTTCTTTGGCTTGTATTCACACCTAAGCCTCCCTTAGTGCCCTGCCAACCTTCTCTCCCCTCCCCTGTGAAGCTCCAAGCCTCACTGCCTCCAGCTGAAAGGCTTCCTGGCTCATCCCAGAGCACCTTCAACTCCTCCCCTTTCTTATGTAAGTCATTTTAGTTCTCTTCCAACTTCTCTTTCCAATCTTACATACCCCTACCACTACCCAATACCAACTTTATGTAGACAGCCATTGTACCAAGCACAAAGATTTTTGTGTTTAAAAAAAAAGATCCTCCAGGTACTAGGAGTCTTCCTTCATAAAAGAGAGTAAGGAATTTAAAGTAACAATGGTTTTCTCTCTCCTAATATACATATACATAATATACATATTGTTCATATATACATATACAATACATATATATATCAATATATATATGCCTATATGTGTGTGTGTCTCTGCATGTGCATGCACACACATGCATAAAACACTTAAGAAGGAATGACTAAAAAAAATTTAAAAAACCAAAAAACAGACCCAATATGCTTCAGGGAATTCCATATCAAACTTTTGTTGGTTATTCCTCATCCTTAAAGAAGTACAAATCTTTTTATTTCCTAAACTGTCTCTGTACCTTAAGTGTAAAGTAACATATTCAAGCTTTTCCTGTACATAAATGAACTAAAAACAGTGTCTGGCACATAGAAGCCACTTAATGTTCTTTCCCTCACCCCTTCCCTGAAAAAAGGGAGAGGGGACTCTCAAAGCAGCCAGAGGCCGCTGGAGTATAGCTGCTCTCCCCACCTCCAAGTTTTTCTCTTGTAGGTACTTCGGGGCTATGTCTCGTGGAGAGATCCCTCCAATCAGAGAGCGGTCTGAGCGAGTGGCTTTGTCTAACTGGGCCGAGCTTACACCGGAGCTGTTAAAGATCCTGCATTCTCGGGTAGGCACCATCCTACAGCGCAAAGGGGCGTGCAGGATGACGTCAGGGTTGGTGGGTTCAGACAAAAGTCCCCTTGCTCATCACCTGGTCACTCAGCATTGTCTAAAAAGTCACTAAACCAAGCACAGAGAGGAAATCTTCCCTTGGGGAAATAGGAATGATGGTGAAATAGGCTGTAAGCTGAGTTGTCAGTCGAGTCATTCCAGGTTGTCCTGAAACTGGCAGAGTGTCCAGGGGTTCAAGGCAATGTGAGTCCCTTCTCTTCAGAAAGTGCAGGTCCACATCCCTGGCTAGTGTCTCCCTTACTCATCAGGACCATATATGATGCCCATCACAGTTTGGGGAGGAGCATATTGTAGTTCCACAGTCATCCTAGGCGCAGACACAGCCTAGCTTTTAGGCAAAATTCTGGCTCTCTCCACAGCCACATCATCCTGGGAGCTGCCCCGTAAATGGATGAGGAGGGTCTGTCTTGAGAAGGCTTGCAGTTTGGCCAAATCCCAAGAATATGGCTTAGCACAACCATACCCGATTTCAGGTTCTAGGACCAAGGGGTTTGGGGGTGCTCTAGGACTGACTCAGACAACTAACTGCCTTGGTCCTGGAGGCTCAGCACTTCACGGGAATCAGAGGACCAGGGAAGGTGTGGCACTTACGGCTTTCCTGGCCAACAGCTGGCCGTTAGTGCCCTTCTCCATTTGACCACCAGCACCTTGTGCAGTGGACATGGCAGAGATCCGAGGTACCTGGGACCAAGCAACTTCAGGCATCCTGAGTATAGACCCCATATAACTCCTGGGAAAGCAGGAGGGATGCATGTGAGGTCTAGAGCAAAGAACTCAGTGGAGTCTAGATGAAGAAATTTAACATCTAGCTCTAGTTTCACCACTAACTTGTGGTCAGACAAGTCCTCTGCCCTTTGGCTTCATTTTTAGGCTGCCCTATTTGCCTTCTAGGGACAACCTAGGGATGAAACAGCAAATTATAAAAGCATCAGAAAAAAATTAAAATGTAATATACATGTATGTTTTCCCCATAACTCTGACATCTGAAGTTTAAAATGATTAAATTATATCTTAGAATGTTCTTCACCAGGCTGAATATTTCTCCACCCTTGCCAAGAGAACTGCCAGAGACCCCACTTATCTCCAACACTCTCTCCCACCGCCTGCTGTGTGCTGGGAGAACAGGGCCCTTGTCCTGGCAGGCGTTTCTCAGGGCCTTCTCTCGTCCTGTCCCTCATCCCCTGTTTTGTGTTTGTCCCCTGCCCTGCAGGTTGCTGGCAGACTGATCATCCATACAGATGAGCTGGCCCAGATGTGGAAAGTGCTGAATCTCCCAACCGATCTGTTTAATAGTGTGATGAATGTGGGCCACTTCACTGAGGAGATTGAGTGGCTGAAGTTTCTAGCCCTTGCTTGCAGCTCTCTTGGAGTTGTAAGTTAGCTCTAATGCTTTGTGTTAAGGGGAAATCTCTCGGGGCCTGGAAGGGCAGTACATCTATCTCTTCCCACAGTCAACTCTGCGGGGCTGATGGGGAGCCCACCTCGTCTTGTTGACTTCCTCACCTCTCTGAATTAAGGTCATTTCTCTGCTCATCAACCAGAAGCAGGAACTAGGAGGAGAGAGGGGAAAACTGTCATCTAGCTCTGGGGAGAGGTTGACTAAAATGCAGCTTTTGGATTATTTATGAATTTCAGCCATTGCACTCAGATTTATTTCCATCACCACTCTGCTTCCTCCATTCATATTCCTAAAGATCACTAGGAGCCAGCTGTAGAAGAAGACTGACTTAGACTCAGGTTCCAGATACCTAAAAGATATGTCAATAGAGACGCTGAAGATTTTCATCCTTATAGAAAACTACTATTTGATAAGCATAACTGGATACAAGAATCAGAGATAAGATAGCAGGAAAGGAGGAAGCTATTTCCAGACTCAGAGTCATGACATCACTAGGGATGCAGAATGCTCATAGAAATTCATGCCTTTTCCAAATTTGACATGATTCACAATTGGAAAAGCCATTTTCCTGTTTCCTTTAAAAGATACTGCAGAAAGAAAAAGATACTGCAACCAGTATACATACATATTTAAAAGGTATCATCTTATATGTGGACTCACTCTTATTAAAGTTATAATAACTTAAATGAAAAGGAATCAAAAAATAATTTTTTAAAAATCCCTGAAGTACATACACGTTTAAAAGTTAATGAGAAAATGATTACCTCTGTCAAAACTAAATGGTACGGAAAAGGTAGTTTAAATCACTCAGTAGATCTAAACACAATCTTGTTCTTTCTTCTCCAGTATCTTGGGAATGTGTATTTGACACTTTGGTTCATGAGAAAGGTTACCAGGAATATTGTAGTCCAGCTTTTCCCATGGATTCTGCTCAACTCTCACTGCAATCATTTCTTTAGAGAGGAGGAGAGGAGAGGCCATTCATGGGGTTTTCCCTTCTCTGCTGTCCTTTCTAGCACTATCATATAATGAATAAATTACTCTCTGCAGCAGAGGTAGATGAGTTGCCAATCAGCACTATTACACTTCTGTGGAAATAGCCCCAATGTTTGGGAAAAATCACAAAGGGAAAACAAAAAATCGACATACTTCATTACATTCTCATAGGGTCACAAATGTATTCACACCACGTTCAGAGACATTCAGGGGGTAGTGAGGGATGTACTTTCTCTGTAGTTAATTCTGATCTTCCCAATCTACCCTACCCATGAAGGGTGGAGTAAGAAAATAAGTAGATCCAACCCAATCCAGGAATTTCCATCTGCTGAAGTAACTGAAAACAGTTTTAAGGTAAACTGCTCAGTCTCTCAGATTTCTCCTCACCACTCCTCTCTTCAAGGTGGTGGCTGAGTGTACAAGGCGGGGTGGTACTGGGACTGCACAGCAGCCAAGGGGAGGGTTTCCCACATCCCTGATCCTTCCCAGCACCTCTGCTCTCCATGGAAACACTCGTCTGTGTGGTCGCCAGCTGTGCAGCTTAAGCCTTTGGTTTCTTCCCTTTCACAGCACGAGAGTCCCTCACCAGCTCACCTCTGTTCTCACTGGTGTTCGGGGCCTCCTTAAGTCTCTCTCAGGTGGCCCTCACCTGCTCTCTGCCTTTGGTGCTCTGCGTCACAGCCCCTCAGCACCTTGGAAATGTCTGAGTCCTCTCCTTGTCCACATACCTCCCTGTAACCAAAGTGACTTCGGAAAACCAAATTCCAACCCTCCTTCCGCAGCTGCTAGGTTTACTTCGCTACAGCTGCCACCCAAATTAGGGAGGGGAAACCATGAGGTGAACTCTATCTTTCTACCTCCCTGCTTCAGGAGGTTGGATTAGATGGTCCATGAGGCCTTTTGATCTTGAAACATTCTATCATTCCATTTCACTTTCTCTGCTTCCACTGAGACACTCTCAGGCCTGACTCTGGGTAACAGTGGACCCTGCCAATTCTGAGAGGTGTCTGATTCTGCCCCTTGTCATCCCTATGTCAAAGAACACCAAGGTGAAGTCAGCCTGAAGGTCTAGTCCACAAAGGGTGCTCTGTGAATCCAGGAACCATCCTGTTGTATCTATTTGTTTCTGGTTGGACTATTGCTGGGAACTTAAATGTGGGGGTGGTCAGGGTGTCACCATCTGGAGGAGGTTACATTCCTGTTAATCCACATATCCTGAAAGCAAGCCCGGAAATCCCCCACTTGCTTTGTCAACTCACCAGCCAGCCATAAGCTCTGTGCCATTTAGAAAATCCAGTGCCCTCCTTATAGAAGAATCTAAGGCAGGAATTTTAGGAAGCAGGTGTATTTACTCCACTTTGTGCTCTCTGAATCTACCCACGTGATTCAAAATGCTACAGCACGCAGATCTGTGTCCTCTTCCCTTTCAGCCCTCCCTCCTCTAGCATGACTACTCCACCTCCTGTTCCACCAAGACCAATTATATACAGAAGAGATCGTGTAATTGTGCTCACGAGAAGGAAGGGCATATTTTGTTAGCAGATAGTTCACTTTCTAAGCCTTTCACCTCTGAGTTTGAAAATGAGGCTTGTAAGATGCTTAAAGGCTATCTCTATGGAGTGGATTCCCAGCTGACCAAAAAATCTTGTGTAGCAGAATGCAGATCTCTGTTTACTTTAGATTTACTTAAGTTTATCAAAAAGCTCCACTCTGGAGAATTCTCATCCAATTCATCTGTTTATTAAAGCTTTTAAAACATTTAAAAACGTTATGAGGGCAACAGAATCTGAAGGTTTGTTATTTGAATGATCAATAAAAGATGTTTGAGGTAGAAAGCACCTTTATTGGTTTGCTAGGGGTACCATAACAAGTACCACAGACTGGGTGGCTTCAACCGCAGCAATTTGTTTTCTCACAGTTTCGGAGGCTGAAAATCTGAGCTCAGTGTGTCTGAGGCCTCCCTCATTGGCTGGTAAATGGCTGTCATCTCCCTCTTTCTTCATATGGTTGTCCCCATGTGTCTGGTGTCTGTCTGTCTGTCTCTCTCTCATATCTTAATCTCTTCTTATAAGGACACCAGATCTTTGGATTAGGGCTCACTCTAATGACTTTATTTTAACTTAATTAGCTCTTTAAAGGCCTTATTTCCAAATACCATCACATTCTGAGGCTTTAGGGAATGGGCTTCAACATATGAATTTGAGCGGACATAATTCAGCCCATAACAGTACCCCTGTATGGATGAGACTGTAGGAAGAGGACCACGGAACAAAGGCAACAGGGCAGTAGGGGTTTTTTAGAAGCAGAGAGGATGAGCTATAGATGGAAATTACAAGGTTCAGTGTGCACATGCTTGCAAACCTACCCAAAACCACTGTCATGCTGCCCTCTCATGTACATGCCCTCCCATCCTCACTGACAACCTCTTACCAGCCTCCTGTGTGCCCAGCCTCCCACCCTCACCCATGGAAGTGCCTGGCACACTGCCTCATCCAGTGCTTCCCAACGACTTCCAAGAGAAGACTCTAAAGGCCAAGAGAGAGTAAATGAAAGCGGTCCCCTCCCCTCCTGTGGCATTGTTCCAAAGAGTCTCATTAGAGTACATAAGCGAGACCAATCACCTTGCCCTTTAGAGAGAAAACTGGAGCTCAATAAGAAGAAATTCTAATTGTATAGAATGTAAAACCAAATTCCTTTCCTTTAGTGAGGTTATTCTGATTAAAGTAATAAATGTCTTAAAGCATTCAACAGTTTATAAACTTAATTCCTTGAGAGTATCCCGCCAACCAAGAAAGGAAAGGAAAAAGAAAGACACCCAGTGGATACTCAATATTTTGAGATCGAATTAAATGACACTTGGGCACAAAAAAATTCAAGCTTTCCTGAGTATTATATCTTATGATGTAATACTTCATTTTATGAGAGGAAAATTTTTGTTTTCTTTGTTGTATCTGAACTGATGTTAGGAATTTCGTTTGGAAGACTGACTTTCTCCTCATTCAATCTTATGACTTCATAGACCATTGCCAAAACTCTGAAGATAGTGTGTGAAGTGTTATCATCTGACCACAATGGCGGCCCTGCCCGGATCCCTTTCAGCACCTTCCAGTTCCTCTATACATATATTGCCGAAGTGGACGGGGAGATCTCTGCTTCACATGTCAGTCGGATGCTGAGCTACATTGAACAGGAAGTGTGAGTAAACTTTTACCAACTGGAGGGGAACACAAATCTAGCAGGCCAAGACATAGTGAGGTTACTGTATTTTACTGCTCTGGGAACAGAGAAATATTGTGAAGAACAAGAAGATCTGAAAGGGAAGGGGAAACTGAAGAGAAAGAATGGTAGAGGACAGTGATTCTTGGTGTGCTACTCAGACCAGCACCTGGGAACGAGGCAGAAATGCAACTTCTCAAGCTTCCCCCTGAGCCCATCAAATCAGAAACTCTGGAGGCTGGGCCAGGCATGTGTGTCTCAGCAAGCGCTCCAGGTGACTCTGACCCATGCTCAGGTTTGACCAGGGGGGTAGGAGGGGAGGAGGAGGAACAGGCAGTCAAGAAGTCAGAGAAAAAGAGTGATGAGGGCAGGAGCCACAGAAGAATTAATTTGGAGTGAGAGAGTTGTTTATATAGTGTCTTTCTTAAGATGAATTGTTAAATGAACTAACCCCCCAATATATATCTTTTTTTCCCCAAACAGAATTGGTCCTGATGGTTTAATCAAGGTGAATGACTTTACCCAAAACCCCAGGGTTCGGCTGGAGTAAAAGCACAATTTTGGCAATTTTAAAGGAAAATACAGAGATGATTGTGCTTCAGAATGACTGAACCCCATACACCATCCAACGTCAATTTTCTTGTGTAATGGGTACACACTAATAAACAATTAGGCAAACATATGAAATCAGAAACATGTTCAACTAAGTTGTAAAACTGTTGGAACAAAACACCTACATTAACAGAAGATTAGTATCCTTCCCACATGGACACGGAGTAAAAGTGGCCGACGAAGCATGGATAGAAAATGCATCTCAGGTGAAAGACAGGCTGTCAGCTTTACAAAGGGAGGGTATTACCCAGACACAGTTTTGATGTTGTGCGATTGTTAAGAATGTCTTACATGAGTGGTCAGTCTATGTTTTTACCAGTGTATGTCTCCATTTGTAGCTATTATGCTAGTCATTCATTCATTCACTCACCAACCAGTATTTATTGAGGTTAGCTATATGCCAGGGATAGGATGGCCAGATAAAGTACAGAAATACAGAACACTCAGTTAAATTTGAACTTGGGATAAACAAATAACTTTTTAGGTTTCTTTTTTCTTTTTGCTAAACCTAGCAACCTGACATATACAAATGATCAAATCTAAATTCTGCCTTCAAGGAGCTCACAGTCTAACATGAAGATAAGACATGAATTTAAATCACTTTAAGTGGCCCTGAGAGGTACTAGTAAAGTGTTTCAGACATCATTATTTGATGTGTTGACATTAAGGTGTCTGACACCGTATCCAGGTGTTATGGGGCCCTTTTAGGAAAATCCCCTGCATGAGCTTAAGACCTTCTGACAAGGCCACCAGATTTTTTCTTTCTCCTAGGAAGCAGATGAGATTAACAGGCTGGGTGGGTAATGTTCTTAAGGCCAGGTGTGCCTGGGTTGCTGGATCCCTCTATCTGTAATACTGTCCTCTCTTGCAAGTTGTTTTTGTAGAAAAATCATGTTAGGTTGCTTTTTGATATACATGTATCTCTTTCTACTGAATTGGGGGAAATTTTGTTGATTAGTGTCTAAATAAGTAAAAGAAGATTGCGATGGGATATCACCACAGGCCCTTGATTTTGACCTAGAGTGAAACAATGAAAAGGGTTGAAACAAATTCTACAACCACGGTCATATGGCTACACCTGAAGGGGATGAGCAACTGCTAATCCTCCCTGCTGTCTGCCATCTTAGCCAAAGCGGTGCATTGTTTACATGCACTCTGGGACCCATGACTGTTTAGAAGATTGAAAGATGAAACCCTGCACTGCTAGTAACCAGGGTTAGAAAATGAATGAACTCCTTTAACCTGCCTCAGTCTCTCCATTTCTCTTTCACTGTGAGCAAAGAATTTAAATACAATCTTGCCTGGGAATGAGAAGTTTGAAAGACCCTAAAACAAAATGTTCATAAGCACAATAAAAGTTAAAACATCTTTGGTACAGTTGAGAAAGCAGACTGAAATTAGAAACTAAACCTCAGTGGCCCTGAGCGTAATTCCTCAAGAGTGAGGCTAACGAAACCCCAGTCATCAAAGTGAATCCTGGACACAGATGTGAAATCATTGATGGCATTGTAGCCATCAGTTGAGACCAATGACAACTGGCAATACCAGTGTGGCACTGCCAATTGCTGGTCTTCTAAGCCACCACTTGGTGTCCACCAGGTTCCTCCTCTCCTGCTCTGTCTCACTGCGGGGATGCTTCGTCTAAGCCATTGATATTGCTAAGCCACAGATGCTCCTCAGAGACACAACCTCCACAGCACATCTCCCAAATCAGCCTGCTTCAGCTGTCACCCTTAGGGTGAAAAACAGCTTTGCCCTCAACCTGTGCTATGCTGTTATTAACAATAATTATAAATACTATTAGTAATGACAATAGCCAGCATTAAGTACTATGTGCATGTCACCATGCACACACATCGCTTTGCATTCATTCTCAATTTTTCTTTTTACAATCTGACCTTATGAAGTCAGTATGATTATCCCCATTTTATAGATGAAGAAGCAGTAGAGAAACTAAGTTGCTCACTGTCATTGGTGAGAAGGAATTTGAATCCAGGTCTATCTCACTTCAGACTTATGTTGCCTTGTATTCACACTGCCCATCTGAGTATGGAGTTTCCCTCCAGAAACAACTGCTGAGATAAGTATTTAAGTGCAAGTGGTTTATTTTGGAGGCAATCCCAGGAACGGTGGAAAGGAAGTAGGGAAATAAGTGAAGGGAAGAAAGCCAACAGAGGGTGTGTTATCAAGCCAGTTATCCCTGGAGCCCCATCCTGCTGGAGGACTCTGGGAGGTAGTGTAGAACATGCCTCAGAGTGACCTCAACCTGAGGGATGAGGAAACTCTCCATCCATCACAGGCTGAGGGCTGCTTCCTCACCAAGTTCCCATCTGTCACTGGCTGAGTGGCAGCATCAACCTGCTGGTATATCCAGCTTGCCTTACTCATGAACTTGCGCTTGTACCTTTTGCTCCAGGTGAAAAGTGCTCAGGTAGGAAGTCAACAGGTGTGCACAATTAGCAACCTTTGGAGGCATATGGATGGGGCACCACCAATCTCTGTATAAATGCCTTACAGAGATTTTTAAGTATTTTTAGCATTTTAATCACTATTGCTTCTCTCCTTGGGTGAGGCACAAGTCCATAGGGACTTCAGGCCACTGACACTGTGCCATACTAAAATCACAGTTGATCCTCAAATCTGACACTCTGTCCCAAACCAACTTCCCCAGATGAGATCATTCCATAGGGGATCTCCTGGTCCTTGCTGCCTATAGACCTTTGTCAGACCCGTCCCACTGGCCTCCCTATCATGACCAAAAATATCTGAATCCTAGCATGACTCCAGTTAAGCTGTCAAACTGAGAACCCTGTAACATATGGTTTGTATTTCTCCTTTAAAAAGAACAACATTCAGGAAGCAATAAAACCAGGATTTTTTTAAAGAAAAAAGTGGGCTCTTTCTTTCATAAATTAAAGTATTTTGATTAAAGTGAAGACTGCAGATACATTTAAAGCTTCAGTCAGATATGCAAAGATTATAATTCAATTCCATTTTCTCTGTGCTCCATACCCTCTCTCTCCTTGATGCTGTTCAGTCAGGCACCCCCTTATCCCTAGTTAACCAACAACTTCCAAGATCACCAGTGCCCTGCAATAGAGGGTGCTGGACACTCGAGCGTAGAAAGCTGGTTTTGAATTATGTTAAGAATAGGATTCTCAACCTAATATTCTTGGAGAGGCTCCTGAATGCCTCTGATAAAATTGTATACATAAGTATGTTTCATAAATGTGCACATCAGCATTTTTCTGAGGAAAAAATATGAAACGTTTAGCAAATTCCCAAAATTGTATAAGATCTCAAAAGGTTAAGAACCCTTGGGTTAGAAATAATTCCAGAAGTCACCAAATGGCTTGAGGAAAAGCAACAGGGTGGCCTCAGATCTCTCCAAGCAGAACTGAACTCATGTTCCTAACATTTATTATCCAGTCCGCAGCCTCTAACTTTGTGAGTCTTGTCTCTTGGCTATAAATCTTAGATGTGTTTTTAGTTTAGATTTTCATATACACTGCAACTTTGGTGGTTTCCTATACACTGGAACACAGTTAAACATGAACAGAGACTTTCACACTTCTGGGGTAAGCCAACTGGGAAAGCCACTGGTCCAATGCACTAGATTACAAAACACTGCCTAGACGATACAGAGCTGTTAACCGTAACACTAGAGGAAACTAAACTTCCCTATCAGACTCAAACAGCTGAGACCTGGATAATCCTGAGTCTTGAAGCATTTAAGTGGCTGTCAGCCCTAATGCAACAAAGCAGTCAAAACACTGGTTGGTTCATTTATTTATTCAAAAATTAAAAAATTCCTACTATGTGCAAGGCATTGTGCTAGGTACTAGGGATGCTACACTGAATATAATAAGCTCCCTGCTTTTACAGAGACTAAATTCTACTTGGGAAGACAGACATTAAATAACTAATCACATAAGTGAAACATGATGCCGTACCATCATAGCATAGGGACACACTAACTAGTTTGCAGGAGTGGTGGAAAGAAGGGCTTTCTTGCAAAAGTAACCTGACAGCAAACTCAGAAGTCTACGCTTCAGTTAACACAATATCTCAGAAATGTGTTTCTGTACCCTACACCGCTTACCAAGCTCCAGACTCAAATACTCAGTAAACTACTTGATATCATCTCTTGTATGATTCCAAGGCATCCCTAATCAACATACCCCAAAATGAGTTCCTAGCATTACAGGCTAGAGTCTGTGTTGCAACTACTCAATTCTGCAGCTGTAAGACAAAAGCAGCCACAGATAATACATAAGCAATGTGTGTGACTGTGTCCCAATAGTTTTATTTATGACACTGAAGTGTAACTGTCATGTAATTTCACATGTCATGACATATTATTCTTTTGATTTTTAAAATCAATTAAAAATGTAAAAACTGCTCCCAGCTATTGGAAAAAAAGATGGCAGGTTGGATTTGGCCAGGGGCTACAGACTGTGGAATCCTGTGCTGCACTACAGTGATGTTTGTGAAACACCAGTCATTTCACCTTGCCCCGATCTTAAACTTTTACACACTCCTATTGCCCTTAGGAAACCCAAATCCTTAATGTGGCCTCTGAGAACTGCATAGCCTGACCCCTATACATATTTCTATCCCTGCTGTCAATACTTGAGCCACAAAATCTCTTACTTGTCATCATGCTGTCTCCACATGTTTAGAATATTCTTCTCTCCTCTATCTAGTTCATTCTTCAGATCTCAGCTAATGGCAGCGTTATTTGTAATAGAAGAGAGAGAGAGCGAGAGAGAGAGAGAGAGGGGATTCTGGAAATACATTGTAATAGGAAAACACCAGGAATCTGTTTCCCCACCTAGATAACAATTGCACTGGCAGAATCTGTTTGATGTAATCATTCTGGAATTCTGGAGTCTATTGAAAAGTTGAAATTTCTAGGGGAAGGCTTGAATGGTAAATTGCAGGTAATTTCAATTTTAGCTCTTAGCACAGTAGCAGCAACAGATCCCCAATTCCCAGTCCAATAACTGACTTCCATACACAGGTTCCAGGAGCAGCTTGCATACAGCTTATGTGAGCCAGGGTAGGCAAAAAGCTCCCTGT